GGCACTGCTCTGGGGGACATGTTGCAAACCAAAAACCGCCCGAAAAATGCCCGAATCCAAACCCCATTGAAGTTAAAGGGAGCCGAACCCAAAAATCAGTTTTGGACACCTTCCAGGAAGGTTTGGAGACCATTACATAAGTTCAGTTACCCGAATCCAAACCCCATTGAAGTTAATGGGAGCCGAACCCAAAAATCAGTTCTGCACATTTTCTAGGCTGATAGGCAAGGGGCATGGGTTGTTGGGCACTGCCCTGGGGGACATGTTCCAAAACAAAAACTGCCCAAATCCAAACCCCATTGAAGTTAAAGGGAGCCGAACCCAAAAATCTGTTCTGGACATTTTCTAGGCTGATAGGCAAGGGTCATGGGCTGTTTGGCACTGCTCTGGGGGACATGTTTCAAAACAAAAACCGCCCGAAAAGTGCCCGAATCCAAACCCCATTGAAGTTATTGGGAGCCAAACCCAAAAATCAGTTCTGGCCATTTTCTAGGCTGATGGGTAAGGGGCATGGGCTGTTGGGCACTGCCCTGGGGGACATGTTCGAAACCAAAAAATGCAAAACAATTTTCTTTGGTGGGGAACAGCAATTTTAATAATGCTTAAAGGTCAATTTTAAAAAATGCAAAATTCCTTTAACTTCCTTCAAACTGCATGTCAGAGGGATGCCTTGACCCCTGTGTTTGAAGTGGCTGATCTATACCAGCCATTCTCAACCAGGGTGCCCAGGTACCTTGGTGTGCCTTGCTTCTTCAGGGGTGTCTTGAGGTTTCTTCAGGGGTGCCTTGGCAAAATGTCTAAAAATTGCCCAAAACTTGTATACAAGTGGAAGAAGTCTGACTTTTAGTTACACAAAGCCACAGGTCTTCATGGTGCACTATTACGACCTTCTAGCCACCGGCGTCCTGACAACCAATGACATCATCAGTTGATGAGGAGGATGTCAGTTGCCTGCACAGCATCCTTGTTTGACACTCCCCCGCCCCTCTCTGTCGGTGCTGGGGCACACTAGCACAATGATGGAGAGAAACATGGTAATAGTAGTCAGGACCAGTGTGCCAAAGTATATTAGCTCTGGAAGAATAAATCACCTCTAGCATTGGGTGTCCTACATGTGTGGAAGTTGCTGCGTTATATAAAATGATTAGAACAGTTTTTTTTTTTACATTTTAGCATGGGGTGCCTCAAGACTGTCCATCATTTCAAAGGGTGCCTCGGGACTGTCCATAATTTCAAAGGGTGCCTCAAGACTGTCCATAATTTCAATGTATGCCTCAAGACTGTCCATAATTTCAAAGGGTGCCTGGGACTGTCCATAATTTTAAAGGGTGCCTTGGGACTGTCCATAATTTTAAAGGGTGCCTCAAGACTATTAATTTTAAAGGGTGCCTCAGGACTATCCATAATTTTAAAGGGTGCCTCAAGACTGTCCATAATTTCAAAGGATGCCTCAAGACTGTCCATAATTTCAAAGGGTGCCTCAGGACTGTCCATAATGTCAAAGGATGCCACGGGACTGTCCATAATTTCAAAGGGTGTCTCGAGACTGTCCATAATTTTAAAGGGTGCCTCAAGACTGTCCATAATTTCAAAGGGTGCCTCAAGACTGTCCATAATTTCAAAGGGTGTCTCAGGACTGTCCATATTTTCAAAGAGTGCCCCGGGACTGTCCATAATTTCAAAGGGTGCCTCAAAAATGTCCATAATTTCAAAGGGTGCCTCGGGACTGTTCATAATTTTAAAGGGTGCCTCGGGACTGTCCATAATTTTAAAGGGTGCCTCAAGACTGTCCATAATTTTAAAGGGTGCCTCAAGACTGTCCATAATTTTAAAGGGTGCCTCAAGACTGTCCATAATTTTAAAGGGTGCCTCAAGACTGTCCATAATTTTAAAGGGTGCCTCGGGACTATCTCCATAATTTTAAAGGGGGTGCCTCGGGACTGTCCATAATTTTAAAGGGTGCCTCGGGACTGTCCATAATTTCAAAGGGAGCCTTGAGACTGTCCATAATTTTAAAGGATGCCTCGGGACTGTCCATAATTTTCAAGGATGCCTCGGGACGGTCCATAATTTTAATGAATGCCTTGACTGAAAAAAAGGTTGATAAACACTGGTTTACACAATGTATAGAATTTACTACAACAACACGGAGCGTGTTTAACCGCTTCCCAACCTCCCTATAGCAGAACTACTGCTACGGGGCAGCAGGTTTGTGCAAAATCGAATATATATATACGTGTTTTTGTATTTCCAGGTAGGGGCGTGCGCCACCCTACCCACACCACTGTTCGCAGCTACAGCTGTCGATCACTGGGTCCCAGCTGGAGATTCCCCTCCGGCACCCGGCGATTGCTGAGGAACACTGACAGGGGAGAGGTCTGTATGTAAATAATACAGATCTCTCACCTGTCAGCACCAGCATGCTGCTTTGTATGGCTCTGCATAGCACAGAAATACATAGCAGTGTGCTTACACAGTAAAGCACACACAGACAACATAGTAAAACAGCACACAGTTAACCCTTTGATCGTCCCAGATGTTAACCCCTTCATAGAATGGAAAGGGGTCTGGAATGGATGTCAAGGGGGATTCCTTGCAACAAAAATAAAAAATTGTTGAGGAGAAGCGTATGGCTTTGGATTTAATAATTAATGCTTAAAGGTGTTTTCTTCCATGATAGAGACCCTCATATTACCCCTCCTCCCTCCCTCCCCCATCCTAATATTGTACAACCAGTACAGTCCAGATCATTCTCTGTTATCAATTATTGGTCTACAGGAAACCTGTATAGATCACATGACCAATGAGGATGGAGGAGGACCGGAGTCACATGACTGAGAGGATACTAAACCTCACCCTGGAGATCATCTACCTGTTGACCGGAGAGGTGAGGCGGATTCTGGGAGGTCACATGACATCACTCTCATCTCTATTAATAAAACACAGACCTAACCGGAGAGGTGAGGAGGATTCTGGGAGGTCACATGACATCACTCTCATCTCTATTAATAAAACACAGACCTGACCGGAGAGGTGAGGAGGATTCTGGGAGGTCACATGACATCACTCATCTCTATTAATAAAACACAGACCTGACCGGAGAGGTGAGGAGGATTCTGGGAGTCTAACATGATATTCCTATTGGTTCCCCAACACAGAGATTTCCTCTTCTGAAGTCAGGTGATCATATGACCATCACAGTGCCTCCATGTGACTCCTTAAACCCTGAGAGACACAACATGCAGAAGATTCTAGAAGTCACCAAGAAGATGATGGAGCTGCTGACAGGAGAGGTGAGCAGTGCCGGGAATTCTGGGACATTCTCCAGTAACAGACAAGGGATGTGTCTGGATGGTGACTGTATCATTGTGTGTGTCAGGTTCCTATAAGGTGTCAGGGTGTCACTGTCTATTTCTCCATGGAGGAGTGGGAGTATTTAGAAGGACACAAGGACCTCTACAAGGACTTCATGATGATTGATGATCACTGATAGTATCATTAGGATCTGTACATTATCTGCATTGTTACCATTGATGTCATTTTATTATATATTCAGAGTGGAAACCTGAGAGATTGTAAAGTTGAAGTTAAAGAAGAGATAAAAGAGGAGGAGTATGGAGTGATGAAGGAATTTTCTGTAGAACACAAGGATCTCTACAAGAACATTATGATGGAACCACCTAATAATGGAAACCCACCAGAGAGATGTCCCCATCCTCTGTATTCCCAGGATTCCACACAGGAAGATCACAACTACGCCCAACATGATCAGGTAGATGATTTAACAGTTATTGGTAGTTGTGATTTTTATGCATCATGTTTGTTACAATGAATGCCTTACTCCATTTTCAGGGTGGAAACCTTGAGGATTATAAAATTGTTGTTAAAGAAGAGTATAAAGAGGAGGATGGGGAGTATGGAGTGATGGAGGCGTTTTCAGAAGAACACAAGGATATGATGGAGCTACCTAATACCAGGAACCCACCAGAGAGATGTCCCCGTCCTCTGTATTCCCGGGATTCCACACAGGAAGGTCACACCATCCCTCACCATCATCAGGTAGGTGGAGTTGAGGGTCGGGAACATAAAGTGATGGAACCCTCTGACATGTGGAGACGATGTGTGGACTCTACAAGATGAGATGTTCTATGTGATCTCACATCATAAATCCTTCTATGTTACAGATGTTATTTTCTGCCATTCTGTTGTTTAGGGTGAAGATCTGATGAACATGAAAGTTGAGGGTGAAGTAGAAGAGACGTATGTGAGGGATGATCAACAATATACGGAGGAGGCTGGAATGAGGAGGACGTTCATAGAGGGGGACACTCCTACAGAGATCAGCACAGGTGACCAGAATATATTCCTCTCTTATCTCTGCTCTGTTACCGCCCCCCAGCCCCCATTGGTTCCTGCTCCTCTGACAAGGCAGAGTACATGTAGAAGTGATCTGGGAGGACCAAAGGCCCTTTGAAGAGGGGAAGAGTCTCAGCAGGTTGGGACATCCACAGAGAACATCTGCTCCCTCCTATCTCCCTGATCCAGATGGAATCTTGATGGAAGTGAACTAACCCTCTCCTATCTATTGATGATGTTTTTCTATTTTTCCAGGACCCGCCATGGAGAAACCCTCAAAGGATCGTCTCACTTTATCTCCAGGTTGTAAAATGGAAGATGAGGACATCCCAGGAGATTGTGCCGGAGAAAAGACAATGAGCTCCACTATGGATGGTGGACTTCCCAGTGTGGAGAGACCATGGAGTCCCTCTGACTGTGAGCAACCTCGTACTGCGGGGGATGGGGCTGGGATTCCATGTGCTGGAGAAAAGACAATGAGCTCCACTATGGATGGTGGATTTCCCAATGTGGAGAGACCATGGAATCCCTCTCAGCAACCTTGTACTGTGAGGGATAATAATGAAATGCAGGAGGAGAAGGAATTTTCTTATGCTGAATGTGGGGAAAGTTTTCACTCTGAATTAAGCCTTTCTGTATGTCAGAGATCTCACACGGGGGAGGAGTTTTATTTCTGTTCTGAGTGCGGGAGATGTTTTCGTCATGAATCCGAACTTGTCATACATTACAGATCTCACACGGGGGAGAAGCCGTATTCTTGTTCTGAGTGCGGGAAACATTTTTCACAGAAGTCCCATCTTTCCAGACATCAGAGATTACACACGGGCGAGAAAACGTATGCCTGCCCTGAGTGTGGGAAATGTTTTCCACAGAAATCAAAACTTGTTTTACATCAAAGGTCTCACACGGGAGAGAAGCCATTTTCCTGTCCTGAGTGCGGGAAATGTTTTTCACAGAAGGCCAATCTTTCCAAACATCAAAGGTCGCACACGGGTGAGAAGCCTTATACTTGTTCTGAGTGCGGGAAATGTTTTGCACAGAAATCAGACCTTGTTATACATCAAAGATCCCACACGGGGGAGAAGCCATTTTCCTGCCCTGAGTGCGGGAAATGTTTCTCAGATAAGTCCAAGCTTTCTAGACATCAGAGACTGCACATGGGGGAGAAGCCGTATTCCTGCTCCGTGTGCGGAAAGTGTTATACGCGGAAACCTGAACTTATTATACATCAAAGATCTCACGCGGTGAAGAAGCCGTATTCCTGCCCCGAGTGCTGGAAATGTTTTTCCGATAAGTCCAACTTTTCGAGACATCAGAGAATGCACACGGGTGAGAAGTTGTACTCCTGCTCTGAGTGCGGAATGTTTTTTTCCAAGAGCAACCACCTTTCCAGACATCAGAGGTCTCACACGGGGGAGAAGCCGTATTCCTGTCTCGAGTGCGGGAAATGTTTTTCGCAGAAGTGCCATCTAAACACACATCAGAGGTCTCACACAGGGGAGAAGCCGTATTCTTGTCTTGAGTGCGGGAAATGTTTTTCACGGAAATCTATTCTTACCGAACATCAGATATGTCACATAGGGGATCATGAGATTCCTTGTACTTAATATGAACACTTTCTTCGTCCATTGGTGGACGCGTTGTCCTGGCAATGACGTCTTTCTCCAGGAACCTCAACTTCCTTTTTATATGCAATCAAAGCTTTATTGTAACACATGTGTGAGAACAAGGAAGATGGATGTAAAGTACATTCCCATTAGGTGTAACAATTGTATGTATGATAAAAAAGAATCAATAAAATAACGTATCCCATTCAGAAGGAAAACTTTTCAAAACTGTTACCATTTGGGAACACCCTCTTTTGACCTTTGCCAGAATTAATGAAGCTTTGTTGAAACACACAGTATGTCCAATAGGTCCGCAATGTCACAAGCCTAGTGCCAGTTGAAATATCTTTCTATCCCCAACCAGATCCATGTCAGACCTTTGCAGGCCAGGAAAGAAAGGTGTCATGGTCAGGAGACCAGTAGCTAGGCTCCCAATGACCAGCAGAAGTACACAAGAAGGTCACCCTGGTGGATGACGTGGGTTCACCCAAGGTGCAGGGTCTGAGCACTAACCGGTATTCACCAGAGCTCCTGATGGTAGAGATAGGTTTTGCCATGTGTTAGTACCAGGTTGCAGTTCTCAGGATGGACCCACCAGGAGGTGAGCAAGCCAGGGTCCAGTAGCAGATATAGCAGGTAGCGAGCAAGCAGAAGCCTAGCCAGTAAACAAACCAAAGGTTGGTAACAAGTGGTTGCAGGTTGGGATCAAGCAGAAGCATGGTCAAGGAACAAGCCAAAGGTCAGTAAAAGTGGTTGCAGGTTGGGATCAAATAGAATTATAGTCAAGGAACAAGCCAAAGGTCAGTAAAAGTGGTTGCAGGTTGGGATCAAGTAGAATTATAGTCAAGGAACAAGCCAAAAGTCGGTAACAAGTGGTTGCAGGTTGGGATCCAGCAGAAGCGTAGTCAAGGAACAAGCCAAAGGTAAGTAAAAGTGGTTGCAGGTTGGGATCAAGTAGAATTATAGTCAAGGAACAAGCCAAAAGTCGGTAACAAGTGGTTGCAGGTTGGGATCCAGCAGAAGCGTAGTCAAGGAACAAGCCAAACAAAGGTCGGTAACAAGTGGTTGCAGGTTGGAATCAAGCAGAAGCATAGTTGAAAACAAGCCAAAGGTCGGTAACAAATGGTTGCAGGCTGGGATCAAGCAGAAGCATAGTCAAGGAACAAGCCAAAGGTCGGTAACAAGTGGTTGCAGGTTGGGATTGAGCAGAAGCGTAGTTGAGGAACAAGCCAAAGGTCGGTAATAAGTGGTTGCAGGCTGGGATCAAGCAGAAGCGTAGTCAAGGAACAAGCCAAAGGTCAGTAACAAGTGTTGCATGTTGGAATCAAGCAGAAGCGTAGTTGAGGAACAAGCCAAAGGTCGGTAACAAGTGGTTGCAGGTTGGAATCAAGCAGAAGCGTAGTTGAGGAACAAGCCAAAGGTCGGTAATAAGTGGTTGCAGGTTTGAATCCAGTAGAAACGTAGTTGAGGAACAAGTCGAAGGTCGTTAACAAGTGGTTACAGGTTGGGATCAAGCAGAAGCGTGGTCAAGGAACAAGCCACAGGTCGGTAATAGGTGGTTGCAGGCTGGGATGAAGCAGAAGCATAGTTGAGGAAGAAGCCAAAGGTCGGTAACAAGTGGTTGCAGGCTGGGATCAAGCAGAAGTGTAATCAAGGAACAAGCCAAAGGTCGGTAACAAGTGGTTGCAGGTTGGAATCAAGCAGAAGCGTAGTTGAGGAACAAGCCAAAGGACAGTAACAAGTGGTTGCAGGCTGGGATCAAGCAGAAGCGTAGTCAAAGAACAAGTCAAAAGTCGGTAACAAGTGGTTGCAGGTTGGGATCAAGCAGAAGCGTAGTCGAGGTACTAGTCAAAGGTTGGTAATGAAGGGTAGCAGAGATAAGGACAGCTGTAGGAGTGAAAAGAGTGAGATCTTACCTGGAGGAAGGAAGGGAAAAGTGGCTTAAATAGGAAGTTCATGGGAGGAGCAAAGGGGTCAGGGATCAAGAGAAGAAAGGTTCAAGGCAAGATTGTTCAAAGAATTTTCCAGGTTGCTATTCAGCATCCTAGAAGGTTTCAGCAAGAAGAGACACCACCAAATGTAGCAGAGGTTGCAGCTTCAGACCCAGGTCCTGACAGAACAGGCAGTGAGTGTGCATCCCCTCCTGAGCCATATTAGGCCATATGCCCTTAGCAATGGGAGGTTACCTTGTCCCTGGCAAGGCACCTTATCCTCATGATGGTGGTTGCAATGTTGTATTCCCAGAGGAGCAGTTGGTGGTGGGGGAAGAAAGTACAAGCGGGGCCAGTTTATGGTGGGGGCAGATCATACAGAGGGAGGCCATTTAATGGGGACAGGCAGTACAGAGTTGTCAATTGATGGTGGAGAAAGGTAGTACAGGGGTGACAATTGATGGTGGAGACTGGCAGTACAGTAGTGTCAATTGATGGAGGGGACAGTAGTACAATGTGTCAATTGATGGTGGGGACAGGTAGTACGGAGGTGTCAATTGATGGTGGAGACAGGTAGTATGGAGATGTCAATTGATAGTGGGGACAGGCAGTACGGAGGTGTCAATTGATGGTGGAGACAGACAGTACAGAGGTGCCAATTGATGGCGGAGACAGGCAGTGCGGAGGTGTCAATTGACTGTGGGGACAGGTAGTAAAGAGGTGTCATTTGATGGTGGGGACAGGCAGTACAGAGGTGTCAGTTGATGGTGGAGACAGGTAGTACAGAGGGAGCATTTGATGGTGGGGACAGGTAGTACAGAGGTGTCAATTGATGGTGGAGACAGGTAGTACAAAAGTGTAATTTGATGGTGGAGACAGGCAGTACAGAGGTGTCAATTGATGGTGGGGACAGGCAGTACAGGGGTGTCAGTTGATGGTGGAGACAGGTAATACAGAGGTGTCAGTTGATGGTGGAAACAGGCAGAACAGAGGGAGCAGTTGATGGTGGGGACAGGTAGTACAGAGGTGTCAGTTGATGGCGAGGACAGGTAGTACAAAGGTGTCAGTTAATGGTGGGGACAGGTAGTACAGAGGTGTCAGTTGATGGTGGGGCAGGTAGTACAGGGGTGGGGTGTCAGTACAGGGGTGTCAATTGGATGGGGGACAGGCAGTACAGAGGTGTCAGTTGATGGTGGAGACAGGTAGTACAGAGGTGTCAGTTGATGGCGGAAACAGGCAGTACAGAGGGAGCAGTTGATGGTGGGGACAGGTAGTACAGAGGTGTCAGTTGATGGTGGGGACAGGTAGTACAAAGGTGTCAGTTGATGGCGGGGACAGGTAGTACAGAGGTGTCAGTTGATGGTGGGGCAGGTAGTACAGAGGTGTCAGTTGATGGTGGAGACGGGTAGTACGGAGGGAGCAGATGATAATGGGGCAAAGACAAACAAGCAGTGCTGCAACCTCCGCTCCCCATTCTGCTTGATAGAGCTCACTGTTCCCTGTAAGCCAGGATACATGCACAAACCAAAGGAAAAGCCGGCAGCTTGGAGAAGATCTATGAAGAACATCCATTTGTTGTCAAGGAACAGCAGTATATAGCCACATAAGATGCCTACGCGTTTCGGATGTTCGTGGCCATGACTGAGGCCTGAATGGTCGGAACGTGTAGGATTCTTCTTTACTTTGGTTTGCAGTTGATGGCGGGGCCAGGCAGTACAGAGGGGGCAGTTGATGGTGGGGTCAGGCAGTACAGAGGGGGTAGTTGATGGTGGTAGGCAGTACAGAGGAGGCAGTTGTTGGTGGGGCCAGGCAGTACAGAGGGGGCAGTTGATGACGGTGGCAGGCAGTACAGAGGGGGCAGTTGATGATGGTGGCAGGCAGTACAGAGGGGGAAGTTGATGATGATGACAGGCAGTACAGAGGGGGCAGTTGACGGTGGGGCCAGGCAGTACAGAGGGGGCAGTTGACGGTGGGGCCAGGCAGTACACAGGGGGCAGTTGATGATGGGGCCAGGCAGTACAGAGGGGGCAGTTGACGGTGGGGCCAGGCAGTACAGAGGGGGCAGTTGACGGTGGGGCCAGGCAGTACAGCTGGGGCAGTTGATGATGGGGCAGGCAGTACAGAGGGGGCAGTTGATGATGGGGGCAGGCAGTACAGAGGGGGCATTTGATGATGGGGCAGCCAGTACAGAGGGGGCAGTTGATGATGGGGGCAGGCAGTACAGAGGGGGCATTTGATGATGGGGCAGCCTGTACAGAGGGGGCAGTTGATGATGGGGGCAAGAAGTACAGAGGGGGCAGTTGATGATGGGGGCAAGCAGTACAGAGGAGGCAGTTGATGGTGGGGACAGACAGTATAAAGGGGGTAGTTGATGGTGGGGACAGGCAAAAGACAGTACAGGAGGGGCGGTAAATAATAGAGAACAGACAGAACAGAGGAAGAGGCAGCACACACAGCTTCCATCATCCTCCCCAAGTCTCACTTATCATTGCCCCCAGCTGTGGCCCCTACACTGACCTCATCTTTATGCTTGGGGCCCCTCAACAGTTGGTAGCAGATTGGGAGTCTAATTCTGGGCTCTGGGGCTGTTCTTTCTCCCATGCCCTGCTTTACGTGACTTCGGGGGTGGGGCTAATTTCTTTACAGCCAATTGCTTTGCAGCTCTCTTGCGCCATGCTGCTCAATCAAGCAGCATGGAGGGGCAGTGGCCCCAGGAGCAGTGGTTTTTCATGTGTGTGGGGGGTAGGGGGGAAGGTTGCTTGGCTAGCAGTGCCCTTCTTATCACATGTCCTCTGGCAGGTATAGTTCCAAGCAAC